AAAAAAAAAAAAAACGAAAATACTCAGATGTAGTAGTTAATTGGAGAAAAGAAGAAAGATTTTTTATAATATACAAGCTGAAACTAGTTAATAATCATATGAGTTAATCTTAAATTTACTAGAAATAAGACATATATTAAGACCATAAATTAAGACAATATGGTTGTCAAAGTATCAACAGCTTTAAAATATTATCATGTCAATGTTGAGTAAGGGTTTGGTGAGAAGAGCAATTGCCAGGTAAATTGGTGAAGTCTTTATAAAACTATTTTTCAATATAATATTCTACTTATAGATCATACACCACTAAATACTTAAAGACATTTTCTTTAATTCCATCTTTTAAAATTGATTAATTAAGTTTGATAATCAAAAATCTATCATATAACCAGTTGGTAGATTATTTAAGATGATATCTCTATTGCATAAATGCATTTGTTATAATACTAACTGAAAAATTGGATATGAAGAGTACATGTAATTGCAATGTAAACTAACAACAAAACAAGCATATATGAAAAAACTGAAAGAAAATGCCTTAAAATACTATCTAGTGGCTGTCTTTGAAGGTGGAGTTCCTGCAGATTTCCATTTATTTGACTTTTTACTTTCTAAATTATCTCTAATGAGAATTGTTATTTTGATAATCAGAAATTTATCAATTTATCTAAATAAAACTACTCAATGTTGTGTTTTGAAGTAAAGAAGCATACAGAGAGAGTAGTAACTAGAGTACAGCCAGAATCAAAGAAACACAATTTTTTTCTTAGGCCTATGATACAAGAAATTGATGAACCAAAACCCAGAGATGTAAGAAAGGACAGGTAAAGGGGTTAGTGTTCTGCAGGCAGAACAATACTTCCTTTCACATTGAAAGGAAGGATTCATGGAGTAGCCTGACTAGAGAACTATAAGTATCTGTTAAGTACTTCAGGTCACCGTTATTCTTCTTAAGATGCTAAAAGCAGGACTTATGCATGTTTCAGAGTATATCTTACTTTCTGCTGCTCAATGGCAGGAGTAATCTTGAAAAGAGTTGCCTGAGAAAGAATCATTTCCTTCAGCATTTGAATTGCAGTACTTTCAATTAAATCTAGCCAACTTCACCATTGTGTTTGTTCTGTTGTAATGTTTCTTATGTCAAGCTTGTGCCAATATACAATCTATGTCTTAGTGAAAAAATAGTTAATATGAATTGGACTGTTGAAATGAAAGCTCTCTTCTTTACCCAGGAATTGTTCAGAATCTTGACTGAGTTCTGATGTAAAACCACTTAGGGTTTTGGAAGTGTTATTGCACAGTTTTTCCATAGTGTTTTAAAAATGAATATTGCAAGTACATGTCACTATTTTTTTAAAAAAAAGAAAACAAGAGATTTTTTTATCTTAACTAAAGTACACATGTTAACAAAGGATTTTTCCATATCAAGAGTAGGTAAGATTCTAACTTTGGTCTCTGTTGATTATTAGGGTCACTGAGTCCCAACTATTTTCTGACACTGCACTGTTGGATCAGTATATGATCTAGTCAGCCAAGAAAGATAAAGCAGAAACTGGTGTTCTGCAGAGGAGAGACAATTGTGTGCAGTAAATGGTTGCGACAACACCAAATCTCCTCTTTGATTGAATCTGTTTTATAGTTTCTGTGTACCCCTAAGGCTATTGTTCAAAACAGTTCTGCTCACAGATACAGTGGTCATCCCTAGCATGTTAAGTAATTATTCCTCTATAGCAACTTTGGAATTATTAGCTTAAGCTCAGGAAGCTTGGACTGGGTCCATTTTAGAAACACATTGTGGCATAAGAAGTGACAGGAACTTAACTTTGGTAAGTAAAAGTTTAGAGAAATAAAATATCCTGACTTTTAGCTTTACTGAGAACTGATCCAACATCTCTGTAAGTTGAATATGAGCCATTTCACGAATTATAACAGTAACTTGTATAGAAAAGAAAAGGTGTTTTAGATGTATTGTTTTCCATTTATTAAGAATGATGCATATTACACTTTGTGTGTATATGTTTGAGTGTACATGTACACATTGACCAAGCATTCAGCATAGGCTTTTCACCATGTTTATTTTCCAAACAAATTGTAGTTATGTTGACTTATTGTGTTCAAACATCCAGAGTGAAATAATACTTCAAATTTAAAAGTTGAACATCTGCAGTTTTATTTTTTAATAAACACACACACACACATATATATATATGTGTGTGTGTAATACTTTTTATATTTGATTATAAGGGTTGGATTTTTCTTTTCCTTTTTAAAAAAATACTTTATATATTTGTTACTTCTTATTCTTACCTGGTATAATTTCTCACCTTTCAAATTTTTTTCCATAACATCTTCATTGTTATGCTTTTTCTATTCTTGACATAGCTGCTATATCATAAACACAGGTTCCTTGAAACCTGATATAGATTATATTTCTAGTTTAAAATAGTATATTAACTTACACAAACCAAAATCAGTTTTATATGATATTCTGCCTCAAATAAGTTCAGTATAAAGTCTTCATATGGATAAAGCTAGTATAAGAACAATTAACTTTAAAGGATGCCTAAATATACATGATAGTGATACATATTCTTTAGGTATTATCTGCCAAAAAATAACTCTGAATTTTCTAAACAAAAACTAAAATAAAGCCTTTTAAAATGTGGGTTACCATAAAACATTCTCTTTATTTTCCAAAAGAGTTGGATCTGAAACTCAAGCAGAGTGACTGACATTATTTTTCTTACAGAAGATTTAGCTACCATGAACTAATCATACTTTTTTATTTCTTGTGGTGAAATTACTAGCCTCAACTGAATGACCTGGCAAAAGTTTAATCTCTTTAAATTACAAATAAACAATCATATCTCTTTCCCAGGTAAGGAAGAAGACTTTATCTACAAGGATACTACTGCAAATGAAAAATTAGAAAGGAGTAAAGAATATACATACCAGTGGCTTCATACACAGGTTGGGGTTCATGCAGCTAGTTCCAGAAATATGAAATGGTGAGGTCATTTCCTTTAAATTAGATTTTTGTATTGTAAACATACCTTGAAAAGTGAAACCTGGGTTAATTGTGTAAAAGAAACATGACTTTATAGCTAAAGGCCTATACACTACTTTCCCAGGTTTAAAAAAAAATAGCCTTTCATATAGAAGAGATTCAATCATCATTATATTTTTCACCATAAAATATTTGGGAAGAGCTTTATTCGTAATGCTTAAAACCAACAAGTGAATCATACAAATTATTTGTGTCTAAAGTAAAGGTCTGAGATCCATTAACTGTTTCTGAGTGTAAAATATGTTGTAGGCTGTATTTTAATTTATTAGTGCTGTTATAAATTTGTCAATTAAGAACTTAATTTACCCCTTTTAATAACATATATGAACTAAACTTTAATATACAGTGAGTTCTATCCATTTCCTTTCAAAATGTGGAAGTGATATGATAGCAAAAATGAAAATAGAGTAAAACATTTTAGTCTGAATTGTCATATTTCATTATAAATGAAGAAAGTCAGAATAAAGCCATCCATATTTCAGAATTTTCATTTTTTAAATACTCAAATTAGTGGAGGCAGTTTATGTTAGTATTAATCAGTTTGACTTAGTTCACAGCATAGCATCTTTGGAACTGTAAGCATATTTAATAGAATCCATTTAATACCATCTTAATCACCCAACATAAGAGGTCTTCTTCAGAAATTTAAAAGCCTTAGTATAGATGTAGTATAGTGAAAACTTTTAACAAAATGTTTCAGGGTGAATTTTAGATATGCTTAACATTTAATAATATCCTTTACTAATAAATAATCTATGTAAATATGATAAAAAGCAAACAATTGTTTATGAAATTTCTCATATGAAACTATAATACAATATATGATATTTTCAAGAACATATGTTTTTGAAAAGCCAAATATAATTGTTTTGGTTTAAAATAGAATTTTATTATAAACATGACAATAATTCACTAGCATCTTTCTTAAAAGACAAAGGATAAGTAAATGTGAATAAAAACTTTTTCTATAATTTATTAAATGTAATTATTAATAGTTTTAAGATTTTTACTCTTTGATGGGTTCTTTTGAAAAAGAAGGTGGTTTTACAGTATGTATCAATATTATGACAAATTTAACTTAAAATTACTATTGAAAGATTTGAATTCGTGCTTATCTTTCTATAGAAGCTAATTGAAGAAAAATATTATTAACATTTTTTAAATAATGATATCTCCTGATTTTCTTATGTGAGCATTTCTTTCATGTTCTTCCTATACATTCATATTATAATATGTTTTCTGTTTTTGTCGCCACATAGCAATCACTTCTTGCCTGAGTTAGATCCAGATGTACTTAATGGTGGAAGAGTCCAACTCGTGGTAAGAAATGTGTTTAAAGTTATGGAAACATGGTATAAATACCAGTGCTCAATGAATGACACTTTAAAATATGCCCACAATTAAACTATAAAAATGAAAATATAACTCTATTTGAAGTAATGTCAAAAAATACCATGTGGTAAAATAATAACATTTTTTCTTGACTTCTGATATAACTTTATGTTATTACATTGCTTTAAATTATGTAAAAATATTCACCTTTTTATATTATAAAATAACATTATTATGAATGGGAAGCTCAATGAAATTATTGAAAATTTTAGGAGTAGCATTCATAGACTATACTTGATGAAATAGCAAAATATTCTTACAACTCAGATAAACAAATCATACAAAAATTAACAAGTACTTGGGAACTCAAGCACTCTAAGTAATATAAAGTAGAGGATTACATACTTCATTAAGTAAATTATTGAAGCATAGAGACAACCAAATTCTAAATATGGTGACCAAAGTGTAGAATCAAGGTAATAGAACTGCATGTACATTGCTAAATTCCATTGTACTATATGCTATTAGAAGGAAAACTATTTGAACAGAAGAAGAATGTCTAATATTTGATCTATAAAAATAGATCCCATAAAATGATATTTTTTTAGTGTGCTTCCAGGAAATTTCCAGAAAAGATGGTACCTTGATCACTGACTGAAGTGTGTAGTCTCTTTGGCAGGTAAAAATGTATGCCTATGGTGAATCCATCTATACAATACCTTCCATTTAAACCAAGCAACTACTACCTCTTTCTCAGGTTCTGTATTTGCCAAGAAAATTTATTATTATTTAGCCTGCCATATAGAATTTTGCATGAAAAGATGATGTGTTTTCTGATATGAATGAATATTGTGGTTTCCAGAACAGTTATATTTATCATTCTTGTGAATAGGAGTTTTCCTAAAAGAGGAGTAAAAGATAACATAATAGCTAGCTAAAACTATGTTGCTTATGAAAATATATAATCCATTCACAGATTCAAAATAATCACTCATCAAATAATTTTCTGCACTTTAATGGAGAATACACTGAGAGAGTATCAAGCAGATTACTCGGAAAAATTTATACTTCAGATTAACACTATGTCTTATTGGCTATGATTTGACACAGATTGTTCAGTACACATTGGAGCAC